GTTTTGCGTGCTCTGTTCAGTTTTTAGGGCTTTGGAATGAAGGTATAAATGCCCAGAATAATACCCATCTTAAAGGTATGGATTTATAAATCAGTGTTCTTTAAACTCTGTGCAGTTAGGCCAATTTTGGTGTCATGTATTACTCTCTCAAATATTTCATATCTAATGTATGTACAATGGTTAGTAATATCAACAGATGTCTTTTCATTTAGCCTGCAAATGTCATATTTCTTCTTTATCTAGTACATCAGTTTTACTAATTAGGCCATCAGCTGGTGATACTTTGAAGGACATTGCTTTATCTTAGAATGTGATTGCATAGATTTCAAGAAAGTCAAATTTATATATAGATGAGGTAATTAGATGTATCATTTCCTAAATGTATGGTTTCTTTGTTTTCCTAGCTGTATATTATACAAACAATACAAAATTTAATTTCATGAGAGAAATTTATAGCTCACTAACAAACAAAATTGTCTTTAGCTCTAATTGATAACTGACATGTGTCTTTTTCAGATCAGGTACAAGAACCTTTCATAAAATGGCTGGAAATGCTAACCAAGAAGGAAGTAATGGGAAGAGAGGAGCTCTGATAGTGATTGAAGGGTGTGATAGGACGGGGAAAACAACGCAAGCAGAAATGCTGGTTGAATCAATAAAGAAAGAAGGCAAGCCTGCAATATACATGAGGTTTCCAGGTAAAAATATTTATATTTACAAGTTTCAGCTGCTTATGTAGGGAAATAAAAATAAAAATGCTTTTACAATACATTTCTGTTTAGTAATTCAGTTTAATTCAAATATTGTTATGCTGAAAATTTCAATTTCTTTCTTGCTTTTCTTCTTTGAGCATTTGCATTTGCTATGCAAAGTCTTGGCATACAAACTACTACTACTCAGGTCAATATAAGGGACACTAATGAAAAACAATGATCTGCAAATATAAAATTGATTAATGCTTAGAACACTATTTCATAGTAGATTAAAACTGATAAATACTAAGACTACTTTCTTTCATTGTAGTTTGAATTCTGTGTAGTAAGAGACCTTCTTGTTCACCATCTTACAGGTAATAACACCAACTCTTGTATGTATTAGGTTTTCATGGATAGGTTTTCTTTCAGAGAGAGGAACACATATTGGAGGTATCATCAGTAGTTACTTGTCATGTGAAAAAGACTTAGAAGACCATGCCATACATCTTCTCTTCTCTGCAAACAGGTGTGCATTTTCTATACTCTTGAAAGGATAATAAGTTTCACAAAATCTTGCATTTATTAATTGGTCATGGCTTCAATACAGGAGGCAAAAATAGCAGAATCTTTTGTGTTAGCCTCACTTTCTCTCACACATTGCCTTTATTAGGCCTAAATATTTTTTTTTGTAGTAATACATTCAAGAATAATTTTAATTTATTTTTTATAAAACAAAGAACACTACTCACATGTGCAAGTCTCTATTATGAGATTGTTATATATCTGCTGAGTCATTATATCCTGCTGTTTAACAACATAAATGCTTATTGCCTTAATCATGGCTTTGTCTGTGATGTGCAGGATATATAATTATGCAAGGCCTATCTAAAACAATTTTATCCTGGTTCTTTTTCAGTATCACAAAATATAGTATCCACTAATATATAGGCTACTGTTTAGCAAGTTCCCCATCCATACTCATGATATCATCGGCATAACCCTGTTTCCCCTTATTCTCTCCTCTAAGTCAGTCAGACATAGTCACATTTTCTCTCTGCTTTCAACTTGTGAATGCAATGTATTATATAAAAAATAATAATTTTGGTACTATACAGTATATTTCATCAAACACCCAATTTTTCCTCACCCACATTCCCCTTCTATATACCTACTCACTAATATGAGTTACAAAATTACCTTAAGGTATATCATTGTGTTTTCATTGATTATAGACATTTTATCATTTAATTGAAATTCCAGTAACTAATATCTCTTAAGTGAAATTGAAAAATTCAGAGACATTTTTTTTGCTACTGTAGGGGAAAGAGAAGCTGGAGGGCAAGCAGTTCTGAGGGGTCAGGGCCAATAACAGATAAAGTTATATCAAGCATTGTTGACAGCATTTAGTTCTTCATTTGTTTTTTTTCATTTTCAGATGGGAATTATTGCCAAAGATTTTATCAGAACTGGAAAATGGAACATCAATAATTGTAGATCGATATGCCTTTTCTGGTGTTGCCTTTTCTGCTGCAAAGAAGGTATGATTTAAGTGTTTTTTGTATTAATGATAAGATGCCTACCTCTTAACCCATTCGCGCCGGGTGTCACGTATACGTGACATGGCCACTGTAAGTTTACTTGTTTGATTGTTGTTACACATAGATGGCTACACTTGTACTTGTACTGCCTGTCTCAGCTGTTTACCCTTTTCTTTGATTTACGAAAATATTTTACGTTATCTTATTTTGCTGTTACTAATGTTCTTAACATTATAGTAATTATAATGTTTATAATAAAAATAACCATCGATATTCATAGCACTAGTAAAAAATGCATTTTCCCGCCAAATGAAATCAGGTAAGACAGAGCCATCTAGTGCAGAAAAAATTTCACAAAAAGCATAAAAAATGAGCACAGCATTTTCCCCCATTTTTTGTTCATTTTTACCTGGCGCGAATGGGTTAAAGATGCATCTATTGATTTAACTTTGTCAAGTTAATTTGTTAAGTGTTCTGTAAGTGGAAGCTTCAGTAAATGGACCAGAAAAGTAGCATAGCTTTATTTGTGTTTGCATTTTTAGCAATAACATTTATTTTGTTGCATTCAAGCTGAGATTGAATTTCACTTGTAAGATAATTGAAATCATTGAATGTCTGCAAGTCTAAAAAATTGTTTAAGAAGTGCAGCATTGTTTCCTATTTTTTTTATACTTCCACTTTCATTGTCTGCTAAACTTTGTATAGCATTCTCTCACTGTGAAATATAATGTATGTGCATTCATGCATGCACATATGTATAGACATGTGTAGACACATGCGTAGACACATGCAGATGCACACATGTGTAGACACATGCAGATGCACACATGCATAGACACACATGCAGATGCACACATGAATGCACTTATGCATATGAAGTTATATATATGCACATATGAATACACACAGTAGGAGACTGGAAGCCTACAAGCTTAGGGTTTATGATAGACAACCAAGATGTCTCGACTCCTAAATTTATTGAAAAGTAATGATTGAGTGTGGCTGCTATTACAAGAGAGGTTCCCAGCAGGGAGTCTGCCTGTAATCTCCCACACTTGTTTAAAGATAACTATAAGTCACGTGTTTAGCAGGCGACAATTGATGGTGAAGATAGGTAGTATTACAACAATACATTACTCATGTGGAAAGAGGTAGTCTACTGTGGCAAGAAGAGATGAATAATTTGGGTAAAGCAGTGATCATGCACACGCGCACAGACACATGCATGCAGACAAACACGCGGGCAGACACACAGACACACAAACTCACAGGTACACAGACATGCAGGCATACAAACATGCAGGTATGCAGATACATAGGCATGCAGACATGTGGACATGCAGGAATGAAGACACATGTACACACACACATACACACAAATACACACACACACACAAATGCACACGTACACACAAACACATCTGCATGCAGATGCGTACACATAACACACACACTCATGTAAACACACACTCAGAGGCACACACACTCATGCACATGCATGCATGCATGCACTCACTCACTCACTCACTCACTCACTCACTCACTCACTCACTCACTCACTCACTCACTCACTCACTCACTCACTCACTCACTCACTCACTCACTCACTCACTCACCCACTCACTCACCCACTCACCCACTCACCCACTCACCCACTCACTCACTCACTCACTCACTCACTCTCTCACTCTCTCACTCTCTCACTCTCTCGCTCTCTCACTCACATTCTTTCACACACATGCACGCACTCACTCACTCACTTTCTTTCACACACATGTGCACACGCACATGCACACTCACACACATACACACGCATGCACACACACATATGTGAACAGTGAATTATTGCATATGGATTCTATACAAATACATATGTAGAAAGAACAAAACAGATAATACAAATAGAATTCTTACAATTGTTACATTTTGTATCTGTTCATGTTTTTTTATGGTTTTATGTTTATTTAGCATTTATTTACCAGTATATATTATTTAATCTGAATAATATATAGTAGACTGCAGCTTACTGCATGTTCTTTGATTCATTGAAATCTGTTGTGATACAATGTGCACTCTACTCAAAATGTATAAGAACACTGTGACCAGTGTGCAAACGGAAATAGCAGACTTATGCTTATTGTAACTGCAGTGTACTTGTAATTTTTCCATTGTGACCTTACAGTATTGTTGAAAATAAAACCTCAAGAAATTTCTAGCATGCAGAATACTTTTTGTTATATACCACAAATACAAGTTTATTGAGAGTATTTTTGAAACCATAAGAGTTTAAGGTTAAGGTTGTCACACAATGTTTGGGCAAGCATGGTAATGATACATGGAAATGAAGAATGCATAAGAAATAAATGCATAAACATGTAAAACTGAAGCATTGACCCTGCTTAAGCAAATTTCTTATTGCTGTGGAGAATGATATTGGGAGACATTTTTCAACATGGTGGAGCAGTCTTATACATCAGCTTACTAAATTAGGAACTGAATCACAGAGTCAGTATACTGGTTGTGTAATAAGATTGTTAGGCAAGAATGGTGCTGCCAAAGAAAACTCACCATGAATTGAGAGAGGTCCATAACCTGCAGTGGAATGTTACATATTGATAATTTAATTTGATTTTTTTATACTCTGTTGCTAGGTGTACACTTTTTAAAAGCTTCTCTTTGGTAATTCTCAAAATGCTATAATGCTATAATTTTTTTTTCTCTAAAGCTGCATCAAGGTAATGAGTTTGCATCCTGCTACATTATCATAATATTCTTGGCACTTGTACTTTGCATTATAAGTTCTTATAATTATCTCGTAATTAATTTTCTTTAGGACATGAGTTTAGAGTGGTGTAAGAAGAGTGACGCTGGACTTCCAAGACCAGATCAAGTGTTGTTTCTTGACTTAAAGCCAGAGGAAGCAAAGAGGCGAGGGCAGTTTGGAGCCGAACGTTATGAAAAGGAAGAGTTTCAGAAACGCGTTTATGAAAACTTCCAATTACTGAAGGATGACGTGTGGAAGGTTGGTTACGAGATCATAATTAAAGTTATAAATTTTATGAACAAATTTGTCTATCAATTCAAAAATATATTGCTAATGGGTGGCATAAATATATTGTGAAAACTATTATAGTAGGTGATATATACTTTAAAATTGGATGTTTTATTTATATTCTTGTTACTCAGTTATGGTATAGGTTATACTCTGATGCTTAATGTAGTTTAATATAGAATAAAGTTGTAAAAATTTTTCTCAAATTTCTAAAGTTTAAAGAACATATTGCAAAAGGAATATTTGTTGATATTTGTAAAACATAAAATGAAATGGAATTTATGATTTTTATTATATTATTTAGTTATATGAAATAATAGCATTTCTGAACTTTCTCCTTTCCAGGTTATTGATGCAAATAAGAGTGTTGCAGATTTACAGGAAGCTTTAAAGACTGAGGCATTAAAAACCATAGAAAATGTTATGGAACAAAATGATGAACTAAAGAAGCTTTGGGTCTAAAAGGCATGATCGTAAATATTCAGCAATGTCTAATTTTTTTGAGTAAGACATTGACCTGATGATAAGGGCATTTATTCACTTTTTCCAACTGCAGTAGTTCATTCACTTAAAAAAAATTGTTATAGTCTGTTTAAGTAATTTGTTTTTTAAATTAGTTTTGATTTTATTTGAAGTTAAATGATATTCAAAATGTGTGCTAACCTGTCCATGTGGACCAGAAACTGTTGCTATCCACTTTGTAATGGCACAGCAAGTTTAACCTGAATACAGACTTTGTTGTGTTTGCACACATTTATGAAGTCACAATTACATCATTTACTGACCTGAAATACATAGTTCATTGCTCTAATAAATCCCTTGATGTAATCCCATTTATGTAGACACCTTCGTCAGGTTGGGTCTTTGTGTAGGCTTCTATATCAAGGTAATGATGTCCTCGGGGGGTAACTTAAATATATATTGTTAGTATTACTCTAATTCAAATTATACAACTAAATAGGAACTATATAAAAGATTCATATACATAACAGACTTCTACCAGATGATTTACATCTAAGACCTAGAAAGCATTTGAAGGGATAAAGGTAAGTGTGGCAACCATGACAAGAATTCCTGAATGCCAGATATGTGATTTGCTTTTTGATGTTATATCTTTATCAGAATAATTTAATTGAAGAGGTGTTGATGAACTGAAAGCTTAGGTACACAAAGATTAATTACCTGCAGCTCCTGCCAATTAGTATTGTTGATTCTGAGGAAGTAGGCAAAAGCTCTGTTGTGTTAGGTCCCAAATGGTCTCTACAGATTTTAACCTGTTGGATCTGGGTGCCTTGCTCTCTGCCCATGGCCCAAAATCTGGGCATCAGGCTTACTTGAGTGATGACTTATGGGTGTGTGGCTTGTTGGCCAAGGTGTCAAGACTCCTTGCCTATATTTTCATCTGAAGTTCTGTATCAAGATGGTAGTCTTTAACAATAACAACAACAAAAAATAACATTTTGTTAATGTCATTTTTAAGATTTTTTTGTAATACATATGACCATCAGTACATTCCACACTCATTTAGCAATGGAAATATTTCACTGAAATTCTGGATCTGGGTGCCTTGCTCCCTGAATGTGGCCCACAATCTGGGCATCAGGCTTGCTTGAGTGGCAACTCTTGTGGTTGTCTCCCTATATTTTTCAGTTAGAATTTTGTATGAAGATGGTAGTCTATAAAAATAACAATAACAATGATATTTTGTTATGTGTCATTTTTAAGATATTCTTTTGTAATACATATGACCACCAGTACATTCCACACTCATCTACCAATGGAAATAATGCAAGAGCTCCTTCCAAACTGCCCACTACAATCCAAGAGGTTTGTGCACTCATGGCAAGTCATTTCCATCACCCTGGCCTCCAGCCAAAATTCTCTGGCATATTCCTGTCACCCTTACCCTCAGCAATTTTCATGACAGCATATTCATGTACTGGGCTCTCAAACCAAATTTTTTGACTGCATATTCATGTCACCGTGCCCACAAACCAGATTTTTCATGACGGTTTATTCTTGTTATTGGGCCCTGAAACCACATTTTCTCAAAACATGATGGTCACTTCTCCCAGATCCAAGGGGTTTGATAGCATTTTATTAATCAGCTTTATAAGTTTCATTTTCAATAGGCAGATTTGTCTGCTCTGCCATAAATTTACCAGCACAGGTTTCATATGGTAAATAATATTTAATCTAAACCAAAATCTGACTT